GTGAGAATCTTTGTTTTCTTGATGTTGAGCTTTAATCCATATTGAAGGCTGCAATCCTTGACCCTCTACAGTAAGTGCTTCAGGTCCTTCTCAGTTTCAGCAAGCAGGTTTGATTCATCTGCATAACACATACTGTTGATGAGTCTTCCTCCAATCCTGATGCCACACTTCTCATAGAGCCCAGCCTCCTAGATAATTTGTTCTGCATATAGGTTGAGAAGGTGTGGAGATGGGACACATCCCTGGCGTACACCCTTCCCAATTTTGAACCATGCAGTCTTCTCTTTCTCTGAATCTTCAACTTTAAAAGTGTGATGTATTTTTGTAAATACTGGTCTTCCCAGACAATGTGCTGAAAATATTAATTATATGTTTGGCATGTTGTCTGGAAGGACCAGTATTTAGTACAAATAGTTTCACTGCTCCTCTAAGGAGCACCCTGGATGCACTCCCTCCAAGATGGATTTATGTCGTGTTTTGACAGTCAGCAGGCTATTCAGTACTCTTCCCCAGCTCCACAATTCAAAGACAGTGATGCTTTTCCAGCCAGCCTTAGTCACTGTCCAATTAGAAGATGCACAAGAAACAACTGAAAATACCACGGTTTGAATGAGGAGCACAGGCATCTTTAAACTGACATTCCTGCCCTTTAACACTTTTGAGAGGTCTTTTACAATGGATTTTTCCTTGTGCAACACATTTTTCTTTTTTGGCTGCTGCTACCATGGATGCTTGTGGATCCAAGAAAAAGAAATTGTCGGCAACATCAAACTTTTCTCCATTTATTATGGTGTTTTCCATGTATAGTTGTTAATGTACCCAGAGCTACATACTCATGGTTTGCAGTGTAGGTCCATAAGACTGGGCCACCAAAGTTCTGATGGCCTAGTGAGTTAAGAGTTACATTTCTACCACAAAGGCAGGCATTCTAAACCTCCAGCAGCTCCTTGGCACAAAGATGGACAATCTTTGGTGCAATTTACAGCCTCTGAAAATCCACTTGAGAGACAGTTCCAAGTCAGCTATGAGTTCTGACTTGACGGCAATGAGTTGAAAGATGGATGGGTGGATAGATAGATGGATGAATGGATGGATGATAGATAATAGATGAATGATAGGTATGTAGATAGATGACATATAAATCTAGATGATAGATCTAGATAATAGATCTAGATGATAGATAGATAGATAGATAGATAGATAGATAGATAGATAGATAGATAGATGATAGATAGATGATAGGACATGAAATCTTGCTGTCCTTGATTCTAAGGGGCATTCTGGGTTCACTCCTTCCCAAGATTTTGAGGTTTTTGGCAGTCCGGTATATTCCATATTCTTTGCCCCAACCACCACAATTCAAAGACATCAATTCTTCAGTCCTCCTTGAGCTCCCAAACATTTGTGAGGTGCTGATCATTCACTTATGATTCATAGTGACAACAGAACCAAAGCCTGCTTGATCTGGTACCACCCTGACAAGCTTGGCTGTACACATTCCCATTGTTGAAGTCACTTTGCCAATCCATACTGTTGCAGATCTTCTCCTTCAATGACTCTCTACTTTTCAGAGTATGATGTCCTTTCCCCTCTGCTAACATGCTCATGTGAGAGATGAAGGCTCACCATCCTAGCTTCTTCTAAAGTGGACTATGGTTGAACTTATTCCAAGACAAATTTGTTGTTTTGGCAGTCCAAACTAAATTCAGTATTCTAACACTACATAAAAGGCATCAATTCTTTGGTTTTTCTAATTCATTATGAAACTTTCGTAAGCATATGGAGTAATTGAAAATGCTGTGTCTTAGGTCAAGCACACCTAAGTGACATCCTTGCCTTTGACTAAAGGAATCTTTGACAGTTGATTTGCCTAAGGTGAGATAGGGAGCCAGTTCTTGGAGATCATCTGGTATTAGGTCAGAAACCACTAGGAAGCTGTTTCCCTTAATAAAATAAACCCACATCCTATTGCAATGAACACTCAGTTCCAGTTAAGTTGCTTTTCAGGCAGTACCTGCTTAAAAGGATTCCTTGAGCCTGTGCAGCTCCCAGTCCTCGCACCGCTTTATAACCTTCTTCGAGAGGCAGCAGAGAACCTTCTGCTGGGACAGCATGTGAACTGGCCTCTGCAGAGGCTGGATGTGTGTATTATCCCATAATAAGTGATGCTCAGACCCAGAAACCTTCAAGGTGGAATCCACTTTGAGAGGCTGACTGTGTGCACATCTCATTTGCATAACCCTGCTGAGACAGTCCAGTTCCCAGAAAACCCTGACTCTTCCCAGGAAATTGATGCATATGTAAAAATATTGACCTCCTCCTCAAGGACTGAGACCTAACGGCCAAAGAGCTTGCTCTGGCCCACTCTGATTCTGCCTTAAGACTTCCCTTTCTTTAATAAACTGTCTACATGAAAGACAACACCTCATCTCCTCATTCTTTCTTAGACTTGGCAAGAATTCTCAAATGTGAAGTGCCGGAAACACAAAGTAGTATGCTGATTTCTATACTGCTGCTTCAAGGATCATCATTTCTCCATCTAAGTAAAATGAAATTGACAACTTCAACCTTCTTCAGTTTATAATGATGTTGCCTATTGAGCCAGTCGTGACAATTTTAGTTTCTTTGTGTTGAGATCCATACTGAAGCTGTTAGGCACAGTCGAGTCAAACATGACCCATTGCAAACCTATGAATGACAGTCTGACCCTGTTCTATCCTGTGTCATCCTCATCAGCTCTGACATAGTTAAGCCCAATGCTGCAGTCACACTGAGATTAATGTGCCAGTCCATTTCATTGAGGGTTGTCCTCTCTTCACTGACAACTTCAATCTTTTCTTCCTTGATCAAGATGTTGCTTATTGTTTTTAGGCCCATTATTTTGGAAAGGATGGCCAATCCTGTTTCCTATTCTGTCTTAATCTGGGAGGATAGTCTGATCCCCGCGCCCCAGTTATGTGCTTCACTATCTGCAAGCAAGGTTGTATCTATATAACAAAGGTTGTTGATGTGTTTTCCTTTAGTCCTAATGCTACATTCTTCATATAGTCTAGCTTCTTGGATTATTTGCTCAGCATAAGTTGAATAAATATAGCTAAAGGATACAACCTTGATGCACAACTTTCCTGATTTTAAACAGTGTTGTTGTTGATTTCTGTCAAGTCTAGCACAACTCACAGCAACCCTATGAACAAAAAACTTGAACTCTGTTCTATAACTATCATCATTTCTCTAAATTCATAGTTTCCACAGACATGTTATTCAGGAAGTGGATGCCACTCCTGCTTTCAAATATGTCTTAATCTGGGAATTCCACCAAACACTGTCCACCATGGATAACCATTATGGCACTTGACACACCAGTGATGCAGGGTTCAGCATCACAGCAACACCAGGTTACCTCAGTACAGCAAATTGACAGGCCAGTGCTGTACCACTTGGAAGAATGTGCCTCAGAAATATGGTAACACTAGGTGTGAGGGCCACAGGCCCTCAGGCCCAATCAACTTTTAAATACAAAGGCCCTCCACCAGGCCCTGTTTACTCTAAACAAAAAGTTAAATAAAAAACAATCAACCAAACATTATGCAACTTATAATTTTGTTGTTGCTATGTGCCAAGTATTCCTTCTGCCCTTGGGTCCTTGGCTAAAATGGGCAAGGAAAAGTCCAGCCAGCTGACACCTGCTTGTGGAGGGAAAAGCCAATGACACAAACCAAACACACACCAACAGAAACCCCAACATCAAGAAGACAAAGATTCTCACCTCTGGGCTGATTGGCAGCATGATGATAGATGAGAAGAGATTGAGGCTGTTAACAATAACAGCTTGCTTGACTCCACAATCAACACTCTTGGCACCAGGAGTCAGGAAATCAAGAGACAAATTTCACTGGGAAAGTCTGCTGTCAGGAACTTCTCCAGAGTACCAAAAAGCAATGATGCCAGTCTAGAGACTAAGGTATGCCTGATCCAGGCCATGGTCTTCATAATTATTTGCTATGAATCAGAGAGCTGGACAATGACTAAGGATGATAGAAGAAAACTTGATGCCTTTGATTTGTGGTGCTGGAGAAGAGTCTTGAACATACCATGGACTGCCAAAAAAAAAACAAATAGGTGGTCTGTTTTAGAGAAAGTGAAACCAAGTTTTTCCTTGGAGACTAGGATTTTGAAGCTCCATCTCGCATACTCTGGGCACACATCAAGGAGGAACTGATCCTTGGAGAAAGACATCATGCTCAGAAGGGTGGAAGGACAGCACAGGAGAAGACCTCGGATGAGATGGATTGATCCAGTGATTGAGGCTTATGGGTAGAGGAGTCAGAATCAGTGAGAAAGGCTCTGGAGAGAGCAGGCTTCAGATCTGCTGTACCTAAGGTTGCTGTGGGTCACAGGAAACTTGACAGCATAGAACAACAACAACTGCAGAAAAAAAAGTTGGAGCCTCTCACTATCGTTGTTGTTGTTGTTGTTATGTGCCGTCGAGTCGTTTTCGACTCATAGCGACCCTATGCACAACAGCCCTAAACCCTGCTCTATCCTGCGCCAACCGCACTGCCTCTGACACACCCATCCCAATTATCCCAGTCACCGAATCAATCCATCTCATAGAGGGTCTTCCCCTCCTGCGCTGTCCCTCCACCTTCCCAAGCATGATGTCCCTCTCCAAGGACCCGTCCCTCCTGGCAACATGTCCAAAGTATGTCAGACGAAGCCCCAGAATCCTTGCCTCCAAGGAGTAGCTTGGTTTAATCCTCTCCAAGATGAATCTGTTTGTTTTCCTGGCAGTCCATGGTACATTCAGTACTCTTCTCCAGCACCACAGCTCAAAAGCATCCACTCTCCTTCTGTCCTCCCTAGTCATTGTCCAACTCTCTGATGCATAACAAGTGATTGCAAAGACCATGGCCTGTATCAGGCGCACCTTAGTCTCCAGAGAGACACCATTGCTCCTGAGTACTTTAGAGAGGTCCCTAACAGCAGGCTTTCCCATCGCGATACGCTTTTTGAGTTCCTGACTGCTGGTGCCAAAAGTGTTGACTCTGGACCCGAGCAAACTGAAGCTGTGAACACTCTCAATCTCTTCGCCATCCATCCTGACGCTGCCAATTGGTCCAGTGGTGAGAATCTTTGTCTTCTTGACATTGAGCCTCAGTTACCTATGGAACAGACCATCAATTACTCATGTTCAAATTCAAATTGAGGCTGAAGAAAATGAAAACAAGTCCAAAAACCAACATAACCTTGAGTCTTTCTTACTTGAATTTAAAAAATCACCTTAAGAATAGGTTTGAAGCATTCAACAATAATTGAAGATCAAAGGAGCTGTGAGATGTCATCCAAGAAGAGAGCAAAATGTCATTATAAAGACAGGAGAAAGAAAAAAATTAAAATGGCTGTCAGTAGAGACTGTAAAATATGCACTAGAGAAGGGTGAGGATGGGCTGGGAGAAACCACAGGATAGCACAGTGGTGAGTGGAGGGGGTGGGGAAGTAAAAGGAAAGCATCCAGGTGAAAACAGGGTAATGATGGGCAAGTTCCAGTGGTGATTAATTTTATAAAACCTAATGTGTGAGGTTGAGATTAGGGTGTGGCTCTTGCTCACAATAGGGTGTGAGCTGACAGGCTCTGGTCTCACCTTTAAAAAGGCTTTTTGGCTGCCCGTCTGGGGCTATTACCTGGCTGGAAAGATGAGCAGAATGGCTGGTTTCTGCAAAGGTGTGCTTTCTGGTTAAAGGTTGAGATTTGAGTGTGGGTGTTGCTCACACCTGGGTGTGAGCTGATTGGATTTGGCCTTGTATTTAAAGAGACATTTGGGGGGGTGGGGAGAGACATTTGGGCCCTTGGGCCTGCAGCCTCGGGCCTTTTTTTTGTGGTTCTTCCATATAAAACTGGCTTTGAAGCAAGAACTGGCCTCCACTTCCATAAAAAGCTTGTCCCTCAAAACTGTGAACTTGGAGAAAAGATGAAGGTTTTGCATTCAAGACTTCTGTGCATAGGGTCACTATGTGTCATCTACAACTCTACAGCACTTAACAACAACAATGCATGAAAATGATTGTATGAAACACAATGTGAATAAAAAATAGTGTGAAACACAATGTATATAAACTTTGTGAGCAAACCAATTTAAAAACTAATAAATAGCTGCTAGAGTGTTAAGAAGCCAAGTCAAAGGAAAAAGATGCTGCAGTAAAGAGTTGAAAAAAAATTTCAAAGGGCAGCTTGTGAAGAGATGGAAAAGTATTCTATCAGAATATGCAGAGAGCTGGAATTAGAGAATGAACAAGAAAGAACTTGGTATTTGTCAAGCTGAAAGAACTGAAAAACAAATTCAAACCTTAAGCTGCAATATTATAAAGATGCTATGGGCAAAATCTTGAATGATCCAGGGTGCATTAAAAGAAGATGGAGGGAATACACAGAGTCACTGTACCAAAAAGAATTGGTCAACACAGAAATATTTCAGGAAGTACCATATGGACCACCAAAAACAAAACAAAACAAAAACCAATTAAGTCTATCTTGGAGAGGGTGAAACCAAATGTCTCCTTGGAGGCTAGGATTTTAAAGCTCCATATCACATACTTTGGGCACATGACCAGGAGGGACCAGTTGTTGTAGAAGGAAATCATGCTTAGAAGGGCACAGGGACAGCGAGGAAGAGGAAAGGAAGACTCCAGATGAGATGGATTGATACAGTAACTGGGACAATGGGTGTTGGTGTGCCGGAGTCAGTGAGACTGGCTCAGGACAGGGTAGGCTTCAGAACTGTTGTACGTGGGGTCACTATGAGTTGCAAGTGACTTGACAGCATGTAACAACAACCACCATATGATCAAAAGCCAATTATAATGAAGGAAGAAGTTCAAGCTACCCTGAAGACATTGGCAAAAAGTAAGAGCACAAGAATCAATAGGACACCAATTGATGTATTTCAACCCTGGACATGCTCACTGCTCTGTTCCAAGAAATTCAGCTACCTGGCAGACTGACTGGAAGAGATCCATATTTGTTTCTATTTCCAAGAAAGATGATCTAACAGAACATGGAAATTGTCAAACAATATCATTAATATCACATGAAAGCAAAATATTTCCCTTAAGATTATCCCAAACTGGCCAGAATAGTGCATCAACAGTGAACTGCTAGAACTTCAAGATGGTTTTAGAAGAGTCAGTGGCACCAAAGATATCATTGTTGATGTAATTCCAGGAAAGCACAGGAAGTTCCACCTTGAAAATAGTACTATGTTTTTGAGTACTTCTTAGCAGAACAAACAAATAAACTTAAATTTGGTGAAGGATAAACAGTGAATAAACTGAGTTCAATGAAGTGTGAACAATGAGTGATTTCTAGAGAGAAAGCAGTTTCTGCACTTCAAATGAGAAAATAGTGTTGACTAACAAATCAACACACGTTCTACCAGCTATGTTTCATATTGCTTCTCTCATATTTTGCCCAAATAGGACATATACATCCTTATCTAAGAAGATTATATGAAAAAGCCAGTGGTTGGAAACAATACCTTCCCAGCCATCTGTTAACAGATTGTGTGATTCTAGCTCTGTTATCCTATGAGTATAATGTAACTACTCTTTAAAAGAAACATCTCAGAAAATAAAGCTGTAGAACTTAACAGAAAAGCAACAAGTAGAATTTTTAAACCTAACAGTGAAGGAAGCACATATTCAGAACTTAATAATGACAACCTGCTTCCCCAACACACTCCACTTCCTGCTACCATATTTTAGAATCTGGATTATTCCTTCCTTGCTTTCAAGCATCTGTAGAAGTGAATCATCATTTTCAGTCAATGAGGACCATAAGGATTCACAGGCAATTGAACACCACAGGATGAACTCCTAAGGAGGAAGTCTTGCTTTTATCATGTAATAACTGAGTCACTAATTCCTTTTGAATAAAAAAGGAATTTTGAGTGGTTAAAGCGCTTCACAAAGCAGCCCAAGAGGCTGCTAAATACAAAGTTAACAGCTCTAACCCACCAGCTACTCCAAGGAAGAAAAGGCAGTCTGCTTCTGCAAAGATGACAGTTTGGAAACCCTCTGGGATGTTCTCATAGAGCCCTGGTGGCTTAGTGGTAAGGATATGCACTGCCAACCCAAAGACATGCAGTTCAAATGCACCAGTAACTCTGTGGGAGAAGGATAGGTAAGCTCTTCCCATGGGATTTACCACCTCTGAAGACCTGCTGGAGGGTCAGCTATGTGTCAGTTCTGGCTTGACAGTTCTCAACAACAGCATGGGGTGATTCTACTTTATCCTACCGAGTCACTGTGAATCAGAATCTATTTGATGCATGGGCTTTTCTCTTTTTAAATGCATCTCAAAGTGGTTGTTTTGAGGTTCACATGAGAAATGTGCTATAAGCCCCTTATATAAACAAGTTGTTGTTTGTAGTTGAGTTAAGCATGACTCATAGCAACCCTATGAACAAAAGACCTTTCTATAACTACCGGCCTTTCTTAAAGTTCATAATTTCCAGAGGCATGTTGTTGAGGAAGTGGATGCCACTGCTGCTTCCAGACCAGTAAGATGCATTTTAGCCTGGATTCTAGCAATTTTGCTTCACCTTCAAGTTGGCATTTATCATGTACTCAAATCTAAGAGATGTCTTCTCCTTACTGGCAGCGGGAGGGAGAGCACCTCAAACATGTGCAAGAAAAGCCGAGATTTGACCCATTGACGGAGATCCTGCCAGATTTGAAGCTTGTTTCCTAGGCTATGGGGTGATGTACTTTTTCTGAACTGCCAGCAGATGTTGTGTTGATGGAATTTGGGGTACAAGGCAAAGTTCTGAGTAAAATGATGATTCAGACGTTTCAAGAATGGTTTTGATTAGGGATTTGTCTTGCTGTGGGTGAGTTTTAGCAGAACAGTTCTCCTTAACACTTCATCCCTTTTCCAATATGAAGTCCTAGTTCCCCATGTACAACTGTAACAGTGTTCTCTCATAATGCAGTCCTCCCGCTGCAAAAACATTTGGCAACTTTGGGCCCACATTGGGCTGTAAGTAACTCAGTAACTATAAAGTAACTAGTTGTTTATTTGTGCTACCGAGTGCAGAGTGCAGTACGACTCATAGTGACCCCTTCCCATCCTGTGCCAT